GACCCCGCCCTCCCCCCTCCACGCCCCACTCTCCCCCGTTCTTCCTGCTCCTGCCCAGTCCCCTGCCGCGCGCGGCCATGCTGGTCCCGAAACCCTGCGTTACAGCTGTTCGTTCCTCCTTGCCGCACGCTGACATGTCTCGCTGAAACAGCAGCTCTACGGCGCCCCCGCACGTTTTGAATCGTGGGAGTCCTGCTCAAAGATATCTCAATATAGCCGTGACCTGAACAGATTTCCTGAGTAAGGCTTTGCCGTTTCATCCGGCCCCTGCACCTGAGGAGTCCAGGCGGGCTGCGTAGCTTTAAAAATACGACTACTAGACTACTACTAATTTTTATTAGTAGTAGTCGAGTAGTAGTATTTTTATTAACTTGTACTAGTACGACAAGCACTGGTACTAGTGCAAGAACAAGTACTAGAACTACTCCTACTCCTACTTGTACTCCTAGTGCTATTGCTACTGCTCCTGCTAGTGCTAGTGCTACTGCTACTACGACTAGAACGACGACGACGACTGCTACTACTCTTATTTCTGCTCTTCCTGTCATGTCTGTATGGTGATGATGCTGATGATGATGATGATGATGAGAGGGGCCTCGCTCGATGGGCACGCCGCTGTGATGCGGGCATCCGTAGCCAGTCGTGCACATAGGTCAGCATACATAGGCAGGAATGAGTGCTGAACCTGAGAAGGTCAGCAGGTCGATGGTGAGCCATAGTACAAGGGAAGAACACGTGCTCCTGCACGCCTGGCTGAAAGTTGCACCATGCCAAGAAGATCTGGTCAGAGCACACAGTAGTGTGCACAAGCCGATTGCAGCTGAGACGAACACCAGAGCCTTGTCAAACACCTGGAGAGGTGCACAGGTGGTGGTAGCTAGCATTGGCGCTCTGCGGCCATAGATTGCTCTTCCTCCTGCTGATGATTGATCAACGGTACGAACCTACAGTTCAGTTCTGCTTACTTCTGCCAGGACTTACAAATGGTCTCATCGTTGCAGGCTTTGGGCCTCCTTGAGAAGGATCTGCACATGCTCCGGTCTCCTCGGCGTGGATCGTTTCAAGTCACGTCCCTAGCACATGGATCGTTCTCACCCGGCCTTATGCCCGAAGAAAACAGCTGCTCGTACAGCTGGTGGAATCTCTCGAGAGTGAGCCTAGGTTGAAGACGTTCGAGCCACTTTGCAACAGGGAGGTGGGCCTGTAATAGTGTTGTTCGTTGATGTTGGGGCTAGTCTTGCTCTTGTTAAGAACAGTTCTTAATGTCTTGTTGGCTTGGATCGCCTGACCGTGAGATGACACTAACTATGCATGCCTGACACGTCCAAACACACGATGTCCCTGAACCCAAGAAAGCCCATGTACTGCAACGACTTGCGCACAAAAAGCAGTCGTGATCCTACGCTGAAACATAGTCCATAGCAAGTACTGCACACAAACTGCCGCAGCTAGTGGCACCACCCCAACGACGACATGAGCTCGGTACGGAACAATCCCTAGATGGCTTCAGCGGGCCAGATTTGGTGGCCTTGTTGAACTGCGCGTCTCTGTCCTAGGATCTGCAGCCAAGAGCCTTAACCGTTAACCTTTTGCAAGTCTTGGGCGCTGACTTGTTCAGAATCGCCTCAGCCAAACACAGCCATTTACAAGTCATTTCTGGTTCACAGCTATGGCAACAAGCTGGTAGACCTGCCCGATGCAATGTTCCGCTGGCATAACGAGAAGAACCACGCGCATGACCGTAGCAACAACAACAACAACAACAACAGTAACTCTAGTGCAGCTTAGACTTCAGATTGACAGTGGTCATGGTAACGGCACCAATAGCAGCCGTACTGGAAACAACGATGACTAGAATTGTGCAGCACACACAGCAACAGCCACTCCCTGATCAGAACTGACAAACAACAGCAACAGCAACGTCATCAACCTCAGTAGCAGAAACAAGCGACAACCAAAAAGAAGACGAAGGAAACCCGGAAGGGTCCTTTGGAAAAAATTTGAGCTGAGCAGGTAACCCGAATCGACCTGGCCGCGACGGTCGATTCGGAGTTGCTCGGAAGGCTAGGCGATGGCCTCCAGACAAGGTCGAAATTCAGAGAAGTTCATGCCAGGTTCTGCGGGTTATGGGTAAAGAACGCACGCACAGTCATCAAGGGCAGTCGTGGCACTGTGAGACGTTTCGAACTTCGATCTTGGGCGATGCTCGAGGGGACAACAAGCCTGAGTCGGTGCAGGGGCAGGAGCTTCTGGTGGTGCGTCTGTTTCATCTGCGAGCTTCAGGCCCGGATGTGCTGAATCTGATCAAGCAGCAATCCAGCTCAAACCCTCTGCACGCACCGCTGCCAGCTTTTCAACTTTAGTCAACGCCATCGCGAAAGAACGGTTCAGCAGCTGGTGCTGGGTTGCCAGACTCTTCTCTGCGGGAGGCTTTGCCCTGGACCATCGGTATCGGCATCTTATGACGTGGCTGTGTAATTCTGCGTGGTGGGATATGCTGACATGTATGCTGACATGTATAACTGTATAATCATGTATATGACGTGCAACCTTTGCACAACAGCTTTGCGCGGCAGCCATGAGCGCACACAGCGCACGGCTGCCGCAGCTGAGGTTTTCTCGATGCCTACCCAAGTAAGCTTGAAATGTAGCAGTCTATCACATCGGAAGCTTTCGGCCACCAGCTGCATGAGCTTGGCGATCACCTTGCAAGGAAGGTCCACAGCATCTTCGTGCTATATGCATGAATGTATGTATGTGTGTATAATTCTGTATATAATTAGGGTCTGGGATCGAGCGGTCAAGAGCGACCGTATTGCCTGGGACCCCAGAACTCCACTTAGGCCCCCGAAGGGCGGGGTTCGCCACGTGGTGCAGCCGACGACTACCCAGCAGCCTGCTGAGTTTGACGTGCGGCATGCGTTCAACCGGAGCCTAGAAGGCAGCCGCCTACCCAGCAGGTTGCTGAGTTTGACGTTTGGCTATGTCCTAGAGGGCAGCCGACTACCCCGCTGAGTTATTTTGACATTTGGCTATGCGTTTTACCGGGGCCTAGAGGGCAGCCGACTACCCAGCAGCCTGCGGAGTTTGACGTGTGGCTATGCGTTCAACCGGAGCCTAAAAGGCAGCCTGCAAGCAGGTTGCTGCGCTTGATATTTGGTTATGCGTTCAACCGGAGCCTGGAGGGCAGCCAACAACCCAGTAGCTTGCAGAGTTTGGTATTTCATTACGCGTTCAGCCGGAGCCGAAGGCAGCCAACAACCCATCACCTTGCAGAGCTTGATGCTTGGCTGTGAGCTCAAACCCAGCCTGGAGGCGACCCGATACCCAGTGGCTTGCGGAGTCCGAAGTTTGGTTATACGTTCAACCTGAGCCTGGAGAGCAAGCAACTACTGCCCAGCAACGTGCGAAGTTTGCTTGAACTCAACCGGCTCAACCAGAGACTGGAGGCACCAAACTGTCCAGCAGCCCGCGAAGTTTGACGTTTAGGCCCGAAAGGCCAAGGAGCAGAAGGTGAAGGACGTGAAGGTCTTTACCAATTCCCAAAAAAACGAGGCCGGCAAGCCTAAGGCCTACATGTTCAAGGAGATCTTCAAGGTGATGCCAAGTAGTGCCGACTTTGGCCGGCCTGGCCAGGATCCCCGAGATCTGATAAGATTGCTGGCGAGTTTACGCAGCTGGATTACCGCAGAGAGAGTCTACCAGTGCTCGGCTCCTTCGACGACAAGTACCTAAGAACATCCTTCACGTCCAGGAAACCGCGAAGGGGGCCGAGAAAGCCTTCGCCGAATGTGGCAAAGAGTGCCAGTGGGAATACTCCTGAGCTGATTGTCCCCTGAGTAGTTTGCATTGCCACTGCACTGTACAGCAGCATGTGATGTTTGGAAGTTGAGTTCCTAGGGTTGCAGATTCAAAACCGCTGCCGCCCACACACAATGAGATGCTGACCATGCGCATCTCATCTGTCAGCCTGTTGGCTTGACGCCTTATGGCATGTCCTGTGCATATCTTCAGTGCCTTAGTGTTCTTGTTTGGATGGTCATTTCCAATTCGTTAGGCCCAACGGGGTGCATACGCAGTCACTGTGCCTTTAGTGTGTGGCCTTGCATGAGGGTCACTGCGGTAATGGATGGCCTCCAAAGGACCCGATTGTGAGGAATACCTGCCGCTTCACGGTATGCATCATGCCTGCAGCGATTTTGAGCCCCGAGTGCACACTACCTTCGGGTAGATTTCTGCTCCGGGGCGTTGGCGCTTTTCTCGCTAGCCGAAGCGAGGCGCATGAGGGGCCCACCGCCTCTTTCAGGTGGGGTTTGACTTGTGACTCTGTGCCCCAGACGAGCGTGTACATACTTATGCATTTACTCATTTGTCATATGATTCCTTAGATCACAGAACCGCCGGGCCATTTTCTAGACTTTCTGGACTACAGGCTGCGTTATGCCGCTCTTCTTCGTCAATCACGACAACGGGGCTGTCTGGACTGTGCACAGAGACAGAGAGAGAGAGAGAGACCCCAAATGCAGCTGGCGGCACAGCATCAAGGCAGTGGGGGCTTGCGGACTTCAGGGACTTTAAAGGCTCTGGCTTGCTGAAGGTGATGGGGCTTCTTGCGGCTTGAACCACGGAAAAGCCAAGAACGAAGAGTGGTTGGTGACCTTCTGGCGCGTGGTTTAGGGCCAGCTGCGGCGCAATCCTCGCTCTCAAAGCCCGGGCTTCCTTAACGCAGAGTCCCAACTCTCCGACACGAAGCCCGAACTACCAAGACCACCCTCCGCAAAAAGTCACAAGTGCCTTGAAGTCCGCGTCTCAGCTCATTTCTGGACCTCGCAGGCACGCTGGGAACTTGCACGTCTCATGCGCTGAGTCTGAGGTGTTTGATCTTGTCGACATGGCCTCTTACTCAGGCCTCTAGATGAATACTTTTTCAGAAGACTGCGAAACTAATGGTGTCCTGGCCTGAGATGCGCTGCACCAGCTGCAAAGATGAAACTTCCAAGTTAAAGATCTGTGCGAAAACCAGGCTCATACAAGTACGACCTGCCTTGTCCAGCCTCACGCTTATCCAGGGGTGGTGGCAGTCGACGTTTTGGCTGCGGGCAGGGCGCCTGCGTTGGGCCTGTGACTGCTTGCACTCCGCCGAAAGGTAGGGTCTGCATGTACGGGCTCGGTTGGATGCCTGCCTGAGCGGGGTGCGACAGGGGATAAGCCTCTGTCTGTGACTGTGGCATGGATGCCGTCGGTTGGGCGGGTGTCTGAGAAGGTTGTGCCAAGGAATATCGCACTGCCTGGGCTTGCGGGTTCGTCAGAGACGGGCTTGGCCGGCTAGATCCAGGTGCTTGAAACGAAGGTGCCAGGGGACACGCCCCTGTCTGTGATGCGGCTTGCTGGAAGGGCGCCGCCATGACATTCATTGCACTTGGGCTTGGTTGGCCAGGTGCCCGCGAGGCTGTGGAGGGGAAAGGCCCTAAGGGTGGGAGATTCGGCGTGGATGGGCTTGGTTGGCCAAGTACCTGAGTGGGTGTCGAGGGGGCCCCTAAGGGTGGGAGATTCGGCGTGGATGGGTTTGGTTGGCCAAGTACCTGAGTGGGTGTCGAGGGGGCCCCTAAGGGTGGGAGATTCGGCGTGGATGGATTTGGTTGGCCAAGTACCTGAGTGGGTGTCGAGGGGGCCCCTAAGGGTGGGAGATTCGGCGTGGATGGGTTTGGTTGGCCAAGTACCTGAGTGGGTGTCGAGGGACAAGCTTGCGGGAGGGGTGGCAAATTTGGTGTTGATGGGCACGGGACACCTGGAGTTTGCGGATTTCGCAATGGGTTCTGTCGTGGTTTCACGCAAGCCACTTCCTCCTCGTCATCACCAACATCACCAAAGCTGTTGAAATAGTCCTCAGTGTCCTGCTGTTCGAGTTCGGCTGGAGTGAGCTGCTTGTAAACCACGCCTCTGGCCCATGACCATTCAGAGTCGGCAGTGTCCAAGCTCTCATACCACCTCTGTCTGCTTTGGCTGAAGAAGGCTATGGCGGGGGTGTTCACCAGCTCCTGCACGAGCGTCGCATCTACAGGCTTCATGGAACCACCGTGGTTTATGCCGCACAAGCCCTGCAGAGATGAACTACTAATCGCCCGTGCAGCCCCGACTTTGTCAGTCCTTCGAGCGTCTGGCGAGCTGGATTTGTTTGAACACGTCGGCCCCTGACTCCATGTACCGCTGGCAAAATACGTATCTTGTCTTTGGCGGCACTGACAGCCAGTAGATGAACATGTCCTCGCCCTGCCACACAAGCTGTCAAGCAAAACCAAAGCTCGGTAGGACTGCCGTTGTGGCGCAGCACACCCAAAAGAAAAAAAAACGACACCGAAAGAATCGCTCTATGAAGCTAGGTTCGGAAACTGACCTGGCGGCGGCAGATCAAATCCTAGTGTTCCCGATTTTACAGTGTTCTGAAGTATAGTAGAGTACGATCTAACAGAACACAACCTAGTTCGGTGCAATACAATATAACTTAACTTTACGAAACACAACTGAGCATAATAACGTAGAACGCAACATGATGTGGCAGAATGGAGCAGGAAAGAATAGAACAGACCAGAATACCGCAGAATTGAATACGAACAGCTAAAACCCGTATTTACAAGATCATGAAATTTAACTTATCTTATCTGTATACTACAGTACGATATGATGTGATATGATGTGACATATCCTAAGGAAATTACGACAGATGTAAAATACTGCGATGTAGTATGACGTAATGGAACAAGTACAGAATTACAAAATGTACCAACATACAATATAGTATGTCCCGTATAATACCAGATGGTATCATATGGTTATGTACAACAGTGTGATATGTACTACCATAATGCGATATATCTTTTCCACGTACATATAACAATATTACAAAGTATAGCTAGAAAACATACTACAACGTATCACAGAATAAGCTAACATCGAATGATATGATAAGCTACTATATAGTGAGGTAGAATGCCATATGCACAGTACGCATGCTACATAAAAAACTACAATATGACGCACCACAACATGACATGACATGATAATGATACAAGACAATGCATTGTAATATAATACAGCATGGGACAAGGCATGTCATACTTGTACTGTCAAAAACATATAGTACAGTATAATGGTATCTTCTACACCATATCATAACATGTAACACAATATAGCACAACACAATATACTACAAGCACACGACAGAACGAATATTAATGCTATACTACTACTACTACTACTACTACTACTACTACTACTACTACTACTACTACTACTACTACTACTACTACTACTACTACTAGTACTACGACGACTACTACTACTTCTGCTATTGATGCTATTGCTGCTGCTGCCACTGCTACTGCTACTGCTACTGCCACTGCTACTGCTGCTGCTACTAGTACCACGACCACCACCACGACCACCACCACCACCACCACTACCACCACTACTACTACTACTACTACTACTACTACTACTACTACTACTACTACTACTACTACCACTACCACTACCACTACTGCTACTGCTACTGCTACTGCTGCTACTACTACTACTACTACTACTACTACTACTACGACCTACGAGTACCACAACACACTGCTACTACCCCTACCCCTACCCCTCCAACTCCTGCTCCTGGCTCCTACTCTTCTTCCTGCCGCTGCTGCAACTGCTAAAGTACTTCTGCGGCGACTCCACCAACTACTATCAACATTACCACTGCTACCCTCACTACCGCTACTACCACTACTAGAGCTGCTGCCAATGCTGCTTAGGGCAACGACTCTGAATGATGACCACCATCGTCATTGTCATCATCATCATCATCCTCTCGCTGAATGATGGATGAAGACAACGGCATCAGTACGATTCGTGCGAACTTCAATATTAAATGAGCCCTGGACTATTGTGACAATGACGATGACCGCGCAGATCATGGATTCAGACACCAATCCTGTTTCTGACATCAATCAAAGCATGAGACTCACTTTCCGACAAGAGTGATAATCCGATGGAGAATTGCTTGTGTTTCGTATGACTGTTGAGCTTCGGGCGAAGCCTGCCTTCCAGAATGTCGCGTACTTCGGGGTGCCCCATTGCTCACGCGGCCCAGGTGTAAGCCTGTCCTCTCGCCGCCTGATCTATCTGAGACAGCTTAGGGTAAGCAGGGGTAAGCGACCGACTTTACGGGAATCCCCACAATAGCACATGCTTTAGCGAGCTTTGCGTAACGAAAGCGACCATTGTGGCCACAATGTCACCATGGCTACGAACCTCAGCAGTAGCGTCTCATTTTCATTACCAGTTCCATCAACATCAACAGCAGCCGCAGCCTCATCATCATTAGCAGCATCTGTACCTTGTCCCCATGATACTACCACCGCCACTATCATCATACACTTCATCATTCTTGCCCTCAACATCGTCATTATCATCATCGTCATCACCACCGCCATTTTCGTCACGATGTCACTAGCCGACTAGCCAACGTCGGAAGTCATCCGCCAAGTAGGTTGCCGTGGATTAGGGTATTCAAACTCAAGGATGTATGACGCAGATACTTACTTTGGCTCTTCGGACACAGCCTTTCGACTTATGATCTATCCCGGCGACTGGCTGGTCCTTTACCCAGTCCCGACCTGCCCCCTAAACCCTAAACCCTGATCGACGGGCCCGGCCTATAGAGGCCGTTGAGGAAGGGGGTCTCAAAGCCGCTCACTCTGAAAGCCACCAACTTTTGTGGCTCCCCTCCTGCATCGGTCGCCACAGAGCGTCCTTTGTTGCCGGCTTCTCGGCACAGGTACGTCATGGTATTGCAGGCTCGGGGCCGCAGCAGCTGTGGTGGTTTGGAGGTTGCTGGTGCGCAGCTTGAAGTTGAAGTCACGAGGCCAAGTCAAGGCTTCGCCCGCCGATTAGGTGTGTGAATGATCGCAGCTTCTGCTGCTCCATAAATAAATAATACATATACATATGCATATATTAATGAATCTCTCTCTCTCTCTCTCTCTCTAGAGTTTGGACGTCCACCCTGATGGTGTGATCAGCAGTATGGCGAAGCAGAACTGTATGTATATATGATCCGGGTTCTCGGTTCACCGGCCCCGCCCCAATGGTATCCCCCGCCCACCCCCCCACACTCCCCAAGCCGAATCCGTGTGTGACTGTGCAAGCACCACACCACAGGGGGAGTGGGGTAACCAGCCTAAGCAGACCCACTCCCGAACCACACCAGGCCGAACCGGGATCACATGTTCGGTCCTGGCTCTGCTGCAAAAGTCTTACGCCCTGTGAGGCTCTACAAGGGTTGCATGTCGCGTTCCCTGTTATGCTGGCCGACATTCGAACAAATGCATCCCTCAGCCTCTACGCACAACAGTTCGGCTTACCGGCATGCCGTAGGTGCTACTGCACAGGTAGACTTACAACTCCCGCCTTGTTGCCATGATGGTCCCGAGGCGCTGACTGTGGTGGTCACCGTGCTTGCCGCGACGACATAGTTGATGTGAGGAGGAGGAGGAGGAGGAGGAGGAGGAGGAGGAGGAGGACGGCGGGGATTGCCATGATGCTGGTGGCGATGGAATTACTGTAACGATGACGATGGCGACGACGATGATGGTGATGATGGTGATGCTGGTGGTGGTGATGCTGATGGTGGTGGAGATTTTAGGGGCCATCGTCAGCATCACTGTCTGCATCATCAACATCATCATCACCATCATCGTCACGCAGGTGATCGCAGGTGCTGCAGCAAGTGCACATACGACCCAATGAACGCCGTCTCTACAAGTACCTACTTTCTCTTAAGAACCTCGCTCACTATCTACTGTGTCACCACTGATTATCATGGCCCGGCTAGTCTTGTCACTAAGCTGTCTTTTTTGTGCTTGTCCGCTCGTTCTCGACTCAACATTGAGTGTTGATGTTGTGCCACATAACGCAGCCGGGCCACCGTTACCACCGTTCTCCGCATGTGCAGCATTAGCCAATGCTCTTGGCACCTGCGGAAGAAACCGTGACGCAACTCATCGAATGAGAAAGCTGTTGTTAAATGTCTCGACAAGGACTGTCCATGGCCATTTCTTCCTATTCGCTCCTCTGCCCCTTCCATTTGGTAAGGCTGAAAATTGCAGAGCCCGAACTTCCAGCATCATCCAGCTTCTGTGGCTTCAGCATGAAGCTGCACTCCCCAAACACCCGACAGAAGCCAAAAGAGGCCAAGCCTTGCACGGTGAGCTCCCCCATATGCTGGCTTTCATGGAGCTTAGCAATGAAAAGTCACAAAACCACCTAGGAGTCGCAGCAATTCCCAGACCTGTCCAATGTCCTTCCCATATCTTCCCACGCTGCATTAGAGAACCAGGGATACAGAAACGCCCCCCAGTATCGAGGCTCCAGTGGCTAAGAAAAAGGAGCTCTGGAGGAAAGAAACCCGATGGACGACAGGTCTGAAGTGCTATTCCATTACGAAGTAGCACCAGCAGCACAGCTGCAGCAAGAGGAGGAGGAGGAGGAGGAGGAGGAGAAAGGAGGGGCAGGAGAAACAGAGCAGAAGTACCCGTGATCGTACTTATAGCAGGATGCAGGAGCACCACCAGAAAGGGCACCGGGGCAGCAGGACGAGTAGGAGAATGTTGTCTGAACAAGTTCACGATGGATTTCTTCTAAGAAGAAAGGGAGTACTTCTTGAGCCGCGTTGATTCGAGAAACCTTTCGTCCTCAGCATCATCTCTTCAACACTATCATCAAACAATAATGGGTACTACTTACTAGGGCTATGAATTTACTGCTTGCCGAACCAAGTCGATGTCGTTGCTCAATTCCCTCGCCTGGCCTCTTCTCGCACCACCTGCTGCCCCTTCTTGACCTTTGCGGATTCGCTTGAACTGGACCTGTCCTTTCTCTTCTTCTTCTTGGCGGGCTTCTCATCGCTTGAGCTGGAGCCCTTCTTCTTCCTCTTCCTCTTGGCGGGCTTCTCGTCGCTAGAGCTTGAACTGGAGCTGGTCTTTCTCTTTTTCTCCTTCTTGCGCTTGGCTTCTTTTTTGGCCTTCTTCTCATGGTCCTCCTTCTTTTTTGCCGTTTTGTCCTTCTTTGCCTTCTTGTCATCCTTTGTCTCTTTCTCTTCAATCTTTCCCTGCTGCTGTGCTTGGGGTGGTGGGTCTTTTCTGACCTTGTTACGTGAAGCTGCTCCGCTCGCAGGTGCTTCCACTAGCTTTTCACGGAGGCCGCGCGCCCAATCCTCTCTGTCCTCGCATGCGACGGTGTTCACGAAACCCCACCATACCTTCACCACCGTACATGTCTACCTGTGGCTGTCAGGCTTGCGAGGATTATTGAAATCGCCGCCTTGACTGGAGGCATCTTGGCCAACCAGCTCCATTCGATCGGATTGCCTGGCCTCATGGCAACATGCAGTGCAGATGATAAAAGAGTGCATGTCGTGCCGAAAGGACAAACTTACAAAAATCTGCATTCATGCCGCCCAGCTGCGAGACTCCAAAGTGGCCTGTTCTCCGGTCCGTTCCAGCAACGAGTTTGGCGCACCTAACCCTGAAGAGTCCCAAGTTTCCCAAGTCTTCCCCCATCCATACCATACGAGGGTCCAATTCTCCACCACATCTTTCTCCACTTTTGGAAACCACGCCCTCAGCGCAAAGTCATGCTCTGAATTAGTCAGCGCGGAGCTACTCTGATTCTGGATTCTGTACCCATGCTCCGAATTTTAAGCAACCTTCATGACCCTGCAGAAACTCCAACGCTACCTGTCAGCAGAGGCTCGCAGCTGCACGGAAGCGCAGGCCGCTCTGGACGGTCCATGCCGCTGCAAACGACGATGTTGCGCTGTCGGGTTATCCATATGTAGGGTTTGAAAGTACGGAGATATACTGAGCACATATTGCATGCCCTTAAGGACTGTGATAGCTTGCTGCTGCCATGCGAGGTTTCAGCGAATGGTCGTGTTCATGCTCAGGAGCCACAATCGCCACTGAGCAACAAGCACATCCTAACGAGTCAGATCAACGTGTTCTTTTTCAGGCTGGGGCAAAAAGCAGTCATGAATCTGCTTCGGCTGCAATCTGAACTTGCAAACCTCCAAGCCGAAGAAGAGCTGGACAACCCATCACTCCTGCGAGGAGACAATCACTTCTGCCTGCTGTCGCAGTTGGTCACGGAGCAGTTGAAACTCCAAAGCGGGGCTGGTACCGAAGAGGATTAGGAACGGCATTAACCAGGCAGTCCTCTCCATTTGGGGCACATCTTCCGAATGCCTTGCCGGCATCTGTGCGTGGAACCCAAACTTGAGAAGGCTGGCACTGCCACACACCCGAAACAACCAGTCTCAACAAAAGCGTGAAGTCCCGAACCACTTGCGATTAATGGGAGGCAAGAGCCTCGGGTGGCAGCGGAGTCCGTGGTGCTGAACTCCTGCAGCAAAGAGCTCTGACGGTCTACAGCAGAGAAGATTTGGAGATCCAAACCAAAGCCACTGCCACCGAGAACAGGACCCTCAACAATCATCCGGCACCGGTTGGACACCACCGGGGTCTTTGATCCTGCAGCCCTCAAGCCTTTCGTACTCACCCGACTCCAACCCATCCAACCCAACTGCCTTGGGGAGGCGTCTCATGGAGCAGTGAGGTGACCTCAGGGACAGGTTTGGATTAAAACCCAGCATTGCATTGAAGGCCAACCCGGACAAAATGATGTGTTCTGTTCCTGAGGAGCACCCCCTCCCTGACCAGGCATCTGTGTGTGCGCTTGGTACATGTACATGTCTGTATGGCCGCGGGCAACGACAGAGAGAGACAGAGAGCGAGAGAGAGAGAGAGAGAGAGAGAGAGAGAGCGAGAGGGAGAGGGAGAGGGAGAGGGAGAGGGAGAGGGAGAGGGAGAGGGAGAGGGAGGGAGAGAGAGAGGGAGAGAGAGAGGGAGAGAGAGAGGGATAGAGAGAGAGAGAGAGAGAGAGAGAGAGAGAGAGAGAGAGAGGGAGAAAGAGAGAGTCCAAAACAGCACAACCTGCACACCTGACGTGCCTTCGCACCGGCATGCGCCATCTTTATCTAAGCATGCGCACTGTAGGAGCATGTTCCAGCATACGCTTGCGTCAGCGACCTTCCCAGATCCGACCCTACGGGACCCGGGCCGGGTAAACAATGCCCGAGTCCTGAGAGATGTCCTGCGGAGATGGACATTGAAGTCTTGGAACCTAGGGACCCAGAGCTCCAAAGCGCAAGCGCAGAAGTTGAAAGCTTAGTCAACTGAAAACAGGGCGACCGCAGCAGAATCTTGGTCGGAAAGCCAGGCCCAGGCCTAGACTCCCCCGAGCAAAGCACGGGCGCTGTCAGAGTTGACATGGATACAGTTTCTGAATCCGAGAAGCAGATATCAGAAGCCGTAGCCGATCATTCCCGTCAGTGCTCCCGACCTCACCTGCAGTAGACCCAGAGCCCTGAACTCTCCAAACGGAGGGTTTGAGACAGAAAAAACCCTCCACAAGCGCAGACCTCGAAGCTCTCCCCTTCGCTCGCCTCAGCCGAGTTGGACCCTCGTCTTCATGCTACCGGTGCTACTGTAGAGTAAAGACCACGGAAAGCCTTAAAGCAGAAAAGGCACCCCACAGACACGCCTGGACTGGACTATCCTGGACCCCTAGCCGTAGCCATGAACTTCGACATTCGGATCGGGGTGCGGGCTTACATATCGAAACAAGTTTTCTGGGCATCTTCACGTATGTACAGCTGCATGCATGGACCTGGGCGTGCGTTAGCGTATGTTTACTTTTTGTGCAGACTATCGAGGGCCAGGCTGTTTCCCAAGAAGAGGAGTCCTGCAGCTTGTGCCACGGAGCTGTCTGAAAGCTCTCAGGCTTGAGCGCCGACTTAATTACCCCGAGCACCACTCTCAGCATCCAGCCTCGTAGAAGTCATCCGAATCAAACGCACCTGCTCGCAACCAGGGTACCAGAATCTTCCACTCTGAACCATTACCCAAGACAGCTTGGCGCTTCGCAGCAGACGAACTAAGCTGACAGTTTGGAACCACATCCCCAGTGAGTCCCAGGCCGTCTTCTGTCGAGGAATGACGCTTCTCGTCGTCACTCTCGATCTGGCACAATCATCGGGGGCTGTTGGGCAGCTTCATTGAAGGCCGGAGGATTGGCAACTCTGCTGCGTCGCACTTGCGTGCTGGCATCCGTAGAGTCAAGGCATCTCGGAGTCAGGAGCCCCCCAAACCAGACCTCCCAAAATCTCAAAAAGACTGGATTGCGGCGGAAATCTTTCCCATGCCCTCTCCTTATTGAGATCATCGCTGCTGCTGCCAGTGCTTCGGGTGGACACCTTTGTCAAGCAGGGCTCTGCGTAAATTCGGCATGATGATGTGCTAGGTTGGGTCAAGGAAGCTACCTTTGACCAAGACGTTCTGGTGTGCTGTACTCTCCAACACGGAGAGCAAGCAAACCAAGCTCCGGACGCTCCACACCGAGAAATGTCGCTGGAGCTCCTCCTCCCTGAGCCCCTGCACAGGGTTGCAAGGCCTTAGGGTTTAGACCTACTGTTCAGGCCTTAAGGGTTTGCAGGGCTCCGACGGCCCAGCCTTAATTGCCTTTAGGTTTGAGGGTTGAGCTTGAGCACTGCACCTCTTGGCGGCCCTTCTTGTTCCCCTGGAGCTTTGAGTAGACTGGTACATATTATGCCAATCCGGCAGTTGCGGGTTCGTGGTCCAGAGACTGACTCAATTTGTCAAATGACCTTGGGCTTTGACGACTCTGGCTTCTTGAATCTTATGGGAGATGGGGGTTGGGAGAAATCGCTCTTACCAAAGACAGATAGAAATAACCACAGTACAAGTGTGGATGACAACGCTACTGGCTGCTATTGACGTGTGTGATCTAGCATTTCATACAGGAGCCTTCAAATTCGAATGGGTTTGGGTCGGCTTGGGTATATTATATAAGAAATACAACAAGGAGCCCCAAGGCATTCTGTTTACTTGATAGGCTGCACGAGCTGCCCCCGGAAATTTGTGGCCTTGTCCAGGCCCGTCTCGCCCAACTGGCCATTCGGCTGCAGTTTGCCTCGGAAGTCCAAGTCACACAAGCCACGACCGAACGTAGAGGCCTGTTCGGGGCCCAAGTTTCGGGGCTCTACAGCCTGCGCCTCTGCTGTTTGTAGGATATTCCTTGCGGGGTCCCCTACTCTCTCACACTCCCCTAAACCCTGAGCCCCAACAGCACGGAAAGCCTCAAAACCCTGGTTGAATCCTAAAACTCTATATCCCACTTTCCCAAACTCTCACAAGTCGACGCCCTTGGGATGCCGGCTGGTCGGGCCCAGGACTGGCCTGATCATGGAAAGCTTCGTCGGGCAGTGGGTTAGCTGAAGTGGTTTTGTGAATATACTTAAGTAGAAAGGTAAAACTTCCTAGTATGTTCGCGAGTAATACTGTGACTAGCAATAGTAGTAAACGATTATCAATGTGTTTGCAATTATGCTTTTCCACTACTACTGTGCGCATGATCACTAGTACTACTACTAGTGAAAGCTCTTGTCATGACTATCTACCACTATTACTAGAGTACGAGTACCATCACTTGTACTTTTGCTACTACACCAAGCATGGCCAGAGATCTCATCGTTGGTAGACTTAGCGCTATGGTTATCATTACAATTGTTGTTGCCATTGGTATTATTTTTATCAAAGCCTTACTGTACGATTGTATTTCGTGATTTGGCGGGACATGAGTGAGTCTCTACGGATTCTACTGGCAGAGACCATGTGCATCCTCGAATAATACAGCGACCGAGCATGCTCTCAAGAGCCTCGCGCTGGCTTTCCTCTTTGCTGCTGTATTAAGAACTTCTTCTGTGAGGATATTTGGAGCAGAACGCCAATGCCTGCAAGCATCACATCTAGAATCTAGACATGAAAACAGTGGACGTAGCGCCATTCGCGTGAGTCAATTCCATTGCGTTGTCGCGTGCTGTGTCTCATGTTTTCCTCAGTAAACAAGAGCTTGCAAGGGTATAAATGCAAGATGCGCCGGGCACAGTTGTCAGTTATGAAATGGCTTACAATCCATCCGCACATGCATTCTCTGCGACTCTACAGCTAAAGGACTCACGCATGGAAGCCTCAGCTGACCTGTTGATGCAATTATCATGCTGTCTGGCTCCAACTTCGTTCATTGCCGCCTCCGCGCACTGTGGGGATTCGTATAACGATTGTGTCAAGCAGCAGATGTGAGGCCGGTGCTGACAACCTTGTGCCCTCCCAAGTTCTCAGGTTGCCACGACGACAAGTTGCTCGCAGTCGCCATTGAAAATCCTGACATCTGCATGCTTGGGCATGTAAGGGTCCGGATAAAAATCATGAAAAGTTGGAGGGAACGCAAGAGCTTCATCATGGATGGACATAGCTGCAGCTGCCTCGGCCCTGGCTGTGTCTACACCTCAAAGTGGCATCCGAAGCTGGAAGCAGAGATGCCCGGCCTGTGTTGATATGAAGATCCGCGAGAGCTGCCGAGGGTGATGCCAGCTGGTCAGTGTAAAGCAAGGCATGGAAGAGCTTTGGTAAGGACGAAATAGCACTTTTCGCGACAGATGTCTTTGCTGATCACTTCCCCGGGACGGCTCCCCCATTGATTTGCAAACAACTCCAGCAGGAGCGTTCCGGAACTTGCGGGCGGCTGCCACAGACGTGTCTCTATGACAAATACTCCAGCCTTGGCTCTCACGTTCTTTAAGTGGCCAACACATCATCTACCATACTGCTAGCATTGATCTGTCCAAGTGAGAAATGAAAAGCCAATCCTATACTGAAAACCAAATCATCCGAGCGCACGGACCGTTACCCATCAAAAGCTGCCCTGTATTGCCGAAACCCCTCAGACAGAGGGCAGCACCTCTGGGGAAATAGCTTCAGATTCGCTTAGCCTGAGGAGGGAGATGGGAAGCGAGGCCGGGCTGGGCTAAGAGCAGGCCGAGACAGGGGCAGTGGCTGATAAAGGCAGTCGCCTCTCCGACTCTGCACACAGAACTGGCCAACTTTCTGACCATGTAATGTGCTGCCAATCGCAATAGCATCCTCTCGCAATCTGAATCGAACTTGAAAGCTCCTCCTCCAAGGTCCTCCGGAATACCCTGAAGTCAGCCCATGCCCGTCTAAGCCAGCCAAGTAGCGGATGAGGATTGGTAGGGTGGAAACGTTAGTGGACGGCTCTTTGGGCAAGCGGCAGCGGAAGTAATCCCGTCCCCCATTCATGAAACACCCCCCTATAACTATTCTATAACAAACAAAATTGGGGCCAATCCTGCCAAAATCATCCCTGCCCTGTAAAACCTCATTTGCATAAGCGGCAAGAGCAGGAGTAATAGCAAGAGCAAAAACAAGAGCAAAAGCAAAAGTAGAGCAAGCGTAAGAGGACAAGAAACAGCAAGAGCAAAAGCAAGCGCGAGAGAAAGAGATGCAGCAGGAGCAGGAGCAAGAGCCCAAGCAGGACCAAGAGCTAAATCACAGTAAGGATAAAAATACCCCTTGATGATGAGAACACTTTCCGAGCTTTTATGGGGTGGATGGGGGCCGTTTAGTGGTTAAGGGGAAAGGAATAGATTAGGAGAAGCCCGATGCTGCTATGTCTTGCTGGATCTGATCAGCCTCTCGGTTGAAACATGTTCTCGAACTATACTGACTTCGGGTGGACAGAATCACCACATCTTCAACTTCGGACGAGCAACCCTGCGGACTTTTCGCCAATCCGGCTGAAAGCAATCCCACTGTCTGAGCCATGCTCCATGCTCAGCGCCATTCGTCCGGCAGCCGAGTCCTGCACTTAAGATCACTTCAGTCACGAAATGCAGGAACTGCCGGTGAGCGGCAGGTAGCGGATGTTGAAGACGCACCCAACGAACCATTGCTTTCCTGTCTTGGATTCTGTGGATCAGCTTCAAGTGCCGCTGAGCCCCGAATATCACGCCCCTCCCACCGTGATTGTTTTGCTCTCTGCCAGCTTCGGCATGCTCCTCATTGAGGGAATCCTGGGGATCAGGCAAAGCCCTAGAACTCAGCTTCATGAAGTTGCGTCAATTGCACTAGGGTGGTACGGATTTAGTCAGGTATTTCTTGCCCGAGCGCGCCCGCAATGCAGGCTCTGCTGAATTCGGTAGATCAGCGTGCCAGGGACTGGTGCGACAAAATTCCTGTCGCAGAGTCTTGCACTGAGTAGCCGCTGCCTCTTCCAGTAGACTGTAACAACTCTTCTGCTTAGCCACGGCAGCGGCATCGGCAAATCAGGCGCTGGCTACACTGGACTAAGTGCTCATTTCGAGTTCGGGGTTCTCTGGACAAGCGCCCCCAGAAGGTTCCAGGCGATCCCGTGACTCCCAGCTCATGTTCTGTGACACCGGGGACCTCTGGAAAAGAACAGCGCGGACGACCGTCCTCTTTAAGGACCTGGAAGCCGCTATTCTCCTTTAACTTACCTTTGGTTAGTAGGGAATGGAGGAAAGGGGGTACAATTATAACTACTATTACTACCAGTCTTCCATTCCCTACTAACCAAAGGTAAGTTAAGTCTTCCCATCAAGGCATGGCCTTCGAGTCTCGGCTCTTTGAAGGCCTCCGATGGGAACTTTTGATCTGCTTGGCCCCTGCTCCCCTGAATTGGGCCCTGTCGCGTCTGTATAAAAATGCTACGTACAACCCCGAGTTTCAGAAGAAAGAGCTACAGTGGGTTTAGAGCCCCGAAGCCCATAAGTCCCGGGACTCGAAACATGCTTCTATGTTTTGTCCAGGACATGCCTTGCTGGATGATATCATTGAGGAGTCAACTTTACCTACTGCCAGCCCAACGCAGTCCAAAACTCCTTCGCTAAGCAGTCAATAAGCAATGGCGACTTCCAGTGTTTTCATGGTTTTATGGTTTATGTCATTAGCGTTGAAATATCTACGATCACTACTACGAGTACTTTAAGAACCAGTGGGAGACAAGGCCACGTAATCCTCGCACCAACGACGCCAACATGGGAGCTTGAGGATGGGGAAACCCAAAAAAGTAGGATCCTGACTGAGGGACCGGTAAGTCTCCAACCCACAAAGCATGGAGCCTGGCTTACGTTCAAGGTGCAAACGTCCAACCGCTGGAGGAGCGTTTTAAATTGTGCGGGCTGACTATATACCTAGTGCTGAGCCCTGTCAAAACCCATGCACAGGGTGTTCCTCGCCTCCGTCTTCGAACATGTCAAGCCTAAGAGTGACGAGCAGTTTTGCAATCCATGTAGGATGCTAAGTTGTCACCTGCCGATGCTGAGCTTATGATCGCGACAGCCATCAATGCTACATCACCCACAAAAATGCAAAGAGACAGCTAGGCCGGGAGGGACCAGGAGCATTCATGAATTCCGACCCACTTGATCGGGTCGTGCATGCACGTTCCACAGGCCGCCACATGTCTTGAGACCATGTCGGAAACTCCAAAATTCGGAGAGCTTGATTGATTTTCTCTACAGTACCGAGGCAGCCCAAGATACAGCATTGTGAGGTGCAGTGTATATGTGTGCACATATATATGTATATATACATATGTACAGATAGGTGTATGTGAGCTCTCTGGCTTCACAAAGCAGCAGCGTGGCCCGACTGAGGCGGCAGAGGCTGCGTCAGATGAGTTTCGCCTGAGGACCATCGCGGCCTGCAGAAAGGAGGCGTAAGTTCATCGGATCAGTTTAGGGTTTCAATGTCTTGAAGGGCTCAGGGCTCAGGGTTCTTGGAGTTCCGAGCTTTGGCCGCCGTTTGCTGGTTTCGGCCTCTGTTGAACGCATGAAGCGGGGTACAAGACAGGCTCAACGGAGTAGCTGTACTCGGCAGCTACATGCAGGAACAGCCATTGTGGACAGCGATTAGTGACGCATCAGCAACACCAACCTAAACCTAGCCGAAAGACACTATGAATCTAATGAATCTAATGCCGGAAGCCCTCATGAGCCCTCAGACCTCTGCCCAGAACCCACGGAGCCTGGCGAGATCTTGAAACACTTAGCTTCAGTGGGTTGCGCCCAGCAGCACCTGGCAAGCGAAAACGGACCACCCTCCTTGGGTGCTACTTACAACAAGGCTTTTTGCACGAACATGTCTTGATCTTGATAAGTCGAAACAGCAGCAGAGCAGCAGGCATCGCGCCCATCGTCTCTGATACACCGAAAGCATGCTGAGCCCAGAACAATTTACAGACCGTTTCCCTCACAGAAACCCACGTGCCTGACCGGTGCGACCCTCTCAGTGTCAGCCCAGCACCAGCATGAGCATTTGCATCCGGCAAGCTCAAACGATGACGCTGACTGCTTGTAGATGGAAGCTGCTTGGATGCTTCAGGGAATTGCTGTCCCGTCGTGAAGCCCGTAAGCGTGCCGCACGTACTGGCTGCTGGTACGTGTTCGGAGTCTCGGGACGGCCGTTGCAAGTTTGCTTGCCTCCCAAGATGGGAAAAGCAACATAATTCTGTCAGATGGAACTTGCATCCGTGCTACATCCACAGAGTTTCGAGGAGACGGTTGTAGTCGGGAAAGAGTTGCAACTATACGCGATGCTTACGGATAGGCATGATCTCACCGCTAAGACTCGATTATTTGGGGAATTTGCAAATGACTTAGGGCTTCTTCAAGATGGATTTGGATGGCGCAGCATGAAAGCTTTACTCGCCGAGCAACGCTTCCGGTCACGTTCGCCCCAATGCTGCGCTTCGCCTCAGAGGTCGCACAAGGCCCCTTGATACGACTGCAAGTTCACTACACCCTGACGTAAACAGTGGCGAAGAGTGATGCAAAAAAACCGTAGTCACAAGGACAACACGATTCATCCACCGAGACAACCGCCTCACACGATTACGCCTCTCCATGTCGGGACGAAAGCGATCAGGCCTGTGGTTAGCTGTAGGTGTGTGTGCTGAATTGTGATAGAGACCATACATGTCTTAAACGCCACAAACCCCTTAAGAGAAGGCTTGCCCTTGTAGGGCTATTAATTGAGCCCCGTACAGCGCCCTGAACCGACTCTGAGGGTCCGGGCCCAGCTTCTTTCCCACGGCCACTTGGCCCATCCCGGAGGGCCTGGGTTGGACTTCAGCACTGCTCCCCTAGATGAGCGGTTCAGGGATGAGTTGGGGAAGTCGGGGAGGATGGAAGAAGTTAACAGAGCTGGGTTCAGTGCTGAAGAGGAGTGAGGAATTGACACGACAATTTCCCACGCCCTCTGGAGCCATCATACTGAATGAACCTCAGACTGCATATGGAAAGGCCGCGTGAGTTTCGGGGTTGGGGTTAGGATGGCAGCCCCTCACAGCCCAACCAGAAGTCCTTCTGCAGTTCTGCAGATGTTGATGCTCACTCGAAGCTACTAGCTTATGTCACAGGCGCGGGCCTCAGGATTCAAAAACTTTGCATCTTGGCACCCAGCGGCTTCGGTCGACGTCGCTCTGCAGACCCGAAGATGCCTGGCAAAGAAAGGCAGCTGACTTCTTGAGGCTGCAGAATGCAGTTGCTAAATGTGTGTGCGTTCACTGTTGGACTGCCCAGTCGCTGAAAATTCGCTGCACAATGCATCGGCGAAACGACCAGCTGACGGTTCGCGCGATGTTGAATCCCATTTCTTGTCGGGGCCACATGTTGCAATGATGCTAACGCCGGGTGGCTTTTAATTCAGACCCTCTGACTACACCGTTTCGGGCACATTCTTGGGGCCAGCGGCTTTCCCGCATAGCTTCTACGAATGTGGATGCAGGTTCGTACTTTGAGCAAGGAAGGCCCTCTCACAAACCGAAAGCGCACCGTCTGAACCCCAGGCAAACCCGCTTACAAGCTGTAGCCGTTCGTAGCCTTCGTACTTGCCCGATCCGGAATGTGCTCATAACAGGCTGCATATAACCAGCACTGAACCAACGCGCCAAATTCGCTTCATCATCCCTAGCATGTTACGGAAAGTTGGTGCAGTCCCCCTGAACCCTCAAGACTGGAACCCCACAGAAGGATGGAAGCATGCCGGGCTAACGGTCGCAGTCATCGCGGTTTTGAAGCTCAAGCGCGATTTCCTGGCTCAATGCCCAAGAACTGAAAATCGCATGGCAGGTTCGTTCGTTTGATGGAGCCTGCTGGGCTCCATGCATCAGCCCCAACACAGCGAAGTTGCCAAGAACATGAGCTTCAAATCCGACAGCTTCGATCCAAGCGCCCTTTGACCTACCAGGACTCTAATCGACAAAGCTCCCCGGGAAAGCTTCCCGGCCATGGTTGTGGCCTTCAGGTCACGGTCTTTGTTGTAGAGGTGAAGCTGGGCTTCCTGTCGACAAACCGCGATTTTTGTAAAGGAAGAAAGGCGGCGTGGCAGACGATAATGCCACACCACCTTTCATATCACATCGATGCAAATGACATGTGGTCGCGGCGTAGCGCTGCAAAACACAGAACAGTGAGACATGCGGTGGCAAAGTGTTTGCGTACACGGTCCCTATGCCATCTCGCATCATGTCATCTTGAGGGAAAGCGTAGGCCGTGTATCAGATAATATTCTCGCATGGCCTGCAAGCGCCGGCGCTGATCAGTAATCTGCTTGACATCTTCCTTCCAAGGCAAAGTCTACGACATGGTTGCCCAAGCCCACGCAAGAGTAAACATGTTGTCAGCATGAACAAGGGGAATCGTAAGAGAGGGCTCACAGAACGCAGGGCTTCCTACCGAGTATCCTGAAGCCATGCAGACAATGTGACACAACTCACGAAAAAACTCGATCAAGCCTAAACCCTAAACCCTAAAGCCCAGGGAAAGCAAACGAACGCTCTCGCTTTGCACCTCGCGGCTCTCACGGCTCGCGAAGCGCTTGGCCAGGGTGTCATGCTCTGCTTTGAGCTCCGTCTCCTCACAGAGGAACAAGCGCTGGGTTGTCTTGGGTGTATATGGTTTAGGGATTTGGGCTTGGGAAGTTGCCTACTATGAGAGACGCATATTTCCCTCTAGCCAAAGAAGGCTTTGTACTCGCAGCGTACGACTTGCCAACTCTGTTTAGGCCCTTAACCTGGAATCCTCAACCTCGTGAAACCTATGTAAACCCACCAGCCGAAGCATCAAGAAACGGGGAAATGCGATTACCCATTCTGAAGGCAAGAGATCCTTGATGTTGTTGATCTCGCGAGCAGCGCGGAAAGCAGCAGCCAAGCGCCTGTTGGGAAAAGCTTGTGAGTGGTTCTTGACATGCTATCTTGTTGGATCTTACGGCTTGGATGAATCTTTTGGCGCTACCAGGACTGCAAGTATGCACAGAGATAAAGGCAGGAAAGGTACGACAACACGATGGAATGGGCATAATTACTTATCTCAAATTGTGCTTGAGCAGCAAGACTACAGACAGCCACTGCTGCTGCTGTTGCTGCCGCCCAACGACCGAGACAAACAGTGCCGAAATTCCTCTTTCCCCGATGCTACTCAACTATACCGGATTCTGTAGGGCTTTGGGGTTTACATGGGTTTACGGCAGAGATCGACAGTGTTAAGACCGTGGTGCATGAAAGGTGTCTTCGGCTCGGACGCAGACATTTTAAGAAGAAGCCAGCCTCTGTTGGGCGTTGCCTCCTTCCCAGGCTTCGCGCACAGCATCTTCCTGAAAACCCCGAACGGGCTAAGCGCAGGTTGCGAATACTCTAAGCCTTGACCTGATAGAATCTGCATGCAACATGTAGCCATTCTGACTTTAGCGAGGCTCTTGAATGATTCTGCCCATGGCGCAGCTGTCAGGCATCGACTAGGATTTGAGACTTACTATCCTTCGAGTTGATGACTCGCGAGTGGGGCTCTGCTGGCACCAATAGCCAGGAGGGCCACATGAATATCTCAGAAAAGAGAACTGACTACTGCTCAGGCTCGTGTTGACATTCTGACTTCTCAGGCAGCAGAGTATCTGCAGAGGGAATCTGGCTACTTATCAGTTGCTGCACCGTAATGGGCCTTTCGGAATTTCGGTATCGGAGCCAGTGTGAAAGAGATCAGCCAAGGAGCCTTCATTGCCTGCCATCGCTCCTCCGTACGCGCGATCTCATCGTGAGCCTCTTCCTCATGTCCAGCAGTCTTGCTTCAGGCAATGAAACACTTTAGGACCTTCGGGTTTAAGAGAGTTCAAGAACGATTTGTCGCAACAACAGCCATCTATCTATGCCCACTTCACATCTAGCATTCTTCCTCGCGCACATGCAAGCTGATGGAGCTCAAGCCCTCGAACCCAGGTAACTGGCCACAAACTGCGCAGATCGTTCCTGAAAAGTCAAGTCCCCGGCCAGCTGTTGGGACAGCTTCTGCCGCTCCTCCTCCGCTTGGCGCTCCACGTCCGCTAATCGCTCCTCGAGAGCACTTCGCGCATACACAAACAGAAACATCACTAGTTATGCAGAGTACTGTTCCTGAATACAGTAGGTTCTTCATGGAAAGCAACCTGCCACAACCTGGCTCGGCATTTCATAGTATAGTGTCACGAAGGGTATCTAAGACGGAGCAATGCCTGGCCACCTGGGGACCAGTATCAGCACTAGTGTAGTCACGTGAAATGGCCGCTGCTGAGAGCGGGTCTGACTGAAAGTTCTTCTGCGGTTATCACATTGACATCAACCCCTTCAAGCGCTACAGTAGGTTGCACCGCATTGGGAGTGGGGAGCATCCACGCAGCGAGAATCCAGAGGAAACGCAAGGCTCCAGGGAGCGGAGGAAAGAGAGAAAAGCGAGCGGATCGCGGCCTCCAACTCAGCTCGCGTTGTCTTCAGCCGCACATCGAACTCCTGGCCCAGGCACTGATGGCGGAATCTCAAAATGCCCTAAGCTTAGAGAAACTTTCTCTCCCGGAGCTGCTACAAATGGCTGCGAGACCTGACGCCAGAGACATCAAAGCAGAAGCAAGGCAGCTCCTGTCGTTGTGCGTCGACAGCCGCCTCGAGGGCACAGGGTGCAAAAGAAGCGAGTGGGGCCGTTTCGATTCCCGTCCGCTCAAGCTCTGGATTGAATTGGGTGCTGCTACAGTTTTATGAAGGATGTCCATTGAGGCGACCTGTGTTAAGCCCTGCAAATCACGCCTACAGCCCTTATCCTTCAGGACTTCATGCACGCACATGGCCGGAATCCAGCAATACCCCCGATTCAGATCAAGTGAAGCCTGCCTTGGAATGTCGGTCTCCGAACTTACAAGCATGAGTGGGGCTCTGGCTGCGTGATCCACAAGTAGCTGAGTCTTCTCATCGTGCCACAATGAAGCCTGACAACAGAACATTAACACTCAAAGCAATCATGGTAAAAAGATGATATCGGTAGAAACACTGCATCAATGATATTCCATACGAAGAGTGCCGGTCTCCTCCTTTCCCTTCAAGAGATTGACTGCTGGGAACCCTCAGCAACACAGCCTGCCCGTGAGCAGTACTTGTGGTGGTTCACGCATCGTCTGAGACATCTTCAGTGGCTGACGTGCAGACTGGTACCGAGGGGTCTTTCAATAAGTAACAGTTAAACGTAAGAGTACGACCGGGATTTTGGAGTTTCGGGGCTTGCCGCAGTCTGGCTAGTGGGGGACCAGAAGGAGATACTATTCGTAATCATTGCAACCTCATGTTACGCTGTCACTTCCGGTTCAGGCTCTGATCTAGGTCAAAGCCGACAGTCTGCCAGCACGGCAGAAGTCTGAAGAGATACGCTGGGCACGACGTGGATGCAGGAAGACAACACATGTCCACCACGAAAGCTGTGACCCAACAACAAACGCCTTGTGATTCATGAGCACCTCGAGAGTTGCGATCTCACCTGACAGCGACAGTTAACGGAGCTTAGTCGTGCGTTACGATGCTCTGCTCTACTGTGCTCGACGACAACTTACTAGTGCCGGAGAACAAAATACAAAGCCATCCCAAGAAAGAGCATGCTTGCCCTTGAGGGTTGAACACAGCCAATCATGACATGAATACCTGTAAAGAACGCTACAAGCCCTTACTATGTCTCCCTGCCCATTATCGCTGCTTCCTTGCGAAGCTTGCAACGTCGTTCAGATCGCAATACTGCCAGGGATGTGCATGGCAATGGTCAAAACATGTCATAACGAGTGATTCCCCATGTTCACCACGAAATGCGCCAGCAGTCACGACAACAAGGCACCAAACAAGTGGCACAGTAGCCCATCCAAACAACCCAGAATCCCTTCCCTGAAGGCAACACGAAACCAGTCTCTAAACTTCAAAGCGTCACGGACAACCGTCACAACATTCTGGTTTCCGAACAGCAGCTGGCCTTGATGACGTTGCTTTTCCTGCAAGCGACACACTGGAGCAAAGTGCAGGTTTGAGCTATAAACTATACGTAGGACAAAGGACTCAGTGGGAGTCAACGGCGTGCTTCAACCCCGGCAAGGACCGTAATTGGCAGGCAGTGGTTTGCATTCCGGGAGGGGGGGTTCGGAGCAGCGACAGTATAACAACTGTGACAGCAAAAGCTGCAGTTGAGGCTGGATGCAAGGGCTCTGTTTAGAGTCCTTGCGATTTCAGCTGTGTTGATGCTATGTTTGACTTGCAGACTTGCACCTGCAGACTCTAACTGCTAACTTGCAGTCATCTGGTACTGCAAGGACTAACCCCGAAGACCCCACATCAAAATCCCAAACCCCGACATCTCCAAAGACCACAAAGCAAGAAGGAGTACCACTCGCCACCCCCACGCACAAGCATCCGCAGGAGCCGGCGCCTCCTCCATAAGGCGCTCCGACTCTTGGCCTGAATTCCCATTTTCTTGCTGGAAGGTCGGAAATGTCGTACAGTTGTTGGCTTGCATATATGTCTCTACAACCCTGGCGTGACAGATACGTTTGGGCCATGATGTCGCTGCCACCGACACTGCTGGCGGTACAGCACTATGTCGAGCAGCTTCCGGTCTGTGCGATGACACTTTACGTTGCTGTGCTTTGTTTCACTTTGTTTCATGCTTAATAGATCTACAGTCAGTACTGTAAGTGTAGCGCTGTCGTATTTCATCATAGAGTAAGGTTGCCGTTATGTCCCCGATGTCAAGAGATATCTCTTGAGACCCAGCGGTTTATGGGGCTGGTCTCCGGCTTCTCCTGGGCGATCCGGGTAACAGGACGTGAAAAATGATTGTCAAGCTTCCTCTCAGTGAGAGCCTCAGAGTACGCAAGGCCGGCCAAGGCCCAGGGATGGAAACCCATCTGATCTAGTTGAACCGATTCTGGCAGCTCCAACAGGAGCAATCTGCAATCTTGTATGCCTAAAAGAAGGATTTCTGCACTGCTTCTGTACTTGTAGCCCGGGGAATCACATCCTACAGGGCCGATAGCTGGGCGCAGATAAGAAGCCAAAACCGTAAACTCCCAAGATAGGAGTGTCTGCTGCTTGCATTAACGGCTTAATTAATGATGTCGTATAGTCGTATAACACCCTCAAAGTCATTGACAGCCTATTGCCCCACTCTTGCCAGGATCCCGACGGAGCTCGTCACCCCGAGCGCGTGCCTGGAGATCCCACACTCAGGCCATGCAGGTCGTAATCCTATCAGGTGCCATCTGCAGTGCTGGTGTCAAGATGCCTGACACAAGTAGTTCAATCATAGACACACCTTCAGACCTACACTGATGTACTGAACTGAGAATATAACAACCTGACCAGGCGAAAGATCTCTCAGTATCATGTCCCAGTGCGCCTCAGCCAGCTGCTGCTGAAGCTGCAAGGCCTGCACTGATTGTCCAACGATACCGAACGTATGCAGATTTTAGTGCATATGTAGGGGTCTTGGTCAGAGAGATATGTCACGATTCACGGGAATATACACATATTATGCAACTGATGAGAACCACAAGAAGAGCTTCGGCTTCACTTCCATGTGCTGATGGCAGCTAGAGTGGCAGGTACCAAGCTTCGGAACACAACCTACACGTGCCATTGTGAGATGGTGCAAGACTACTACTTTGGCTTTCACAAACAGAGAGACGAATGAAGAAATGCACAGACGGATTGCAAGATGCATGCTTGCGAGCATAAACGTTTGTCATTGACCACGGAGAAGTGGTAGCGGTAAGCGCTAGCAGTAGCAGTAGCTCTAGAAGCAGTAGCAGGAGTAGTAGCAGGAGTAGTAGTAGTTGTTGTAGTAGCAGCAGCAGGAGGAGTAGTAGTAGTAGTAGTAGTAGCAGCAGTAGTAGTAGTAGTAGTAGCAGCAACAGCAGTAGTAGTAGTAGTAGTAGTAGTAGTAGTAGTAGTAGCAGCAGTAGCAGTAGCAGTAGCAGTAGCAGTAGCAGTAGCAGTAGTAGTAGCAGTAGCAGTAGCAGTAGCGGTAGCAGTAGCGGTAGCAGTAGCAGCAGTAGCAGCAGTAGCAGCAGTAGCAGTAGCAGCAGTAGCAGCAGTAGCAGCAGTAGCAGCAGTAGCAGCAGTAGTGGCAGCAGTAGTAGTAGTAGTAGTAGTAGTAGTAGTAGTAGTAGTAGTAGTAGTAGTAGTAGTAGTGCTGCTAGTGCGAGTGCTTGTGCCATTGCTTATGCTAGTACTAATCATGTAAGTGGTAGCGACTACTGCTAGCGGTGCAATCGCTATGACTATCACTGCTACTTCCGCTGCGACTGTCACTGTCACTCCTAGTCCTGAGAACTGTGATCTTGACAACGATGATAATCGCAACTCCCGCAATTATCTGCCAGTATCACGAGTTCACTACAGTGATACCCTTTTTATAAAAAAACAATTCACAAGTCGGCTTTATCCGAGTCTCTCCGTTCGGTGGTTGCTCCGGCCGCTCCTCGGACTCCTGCTCGCTGCGCAGGGCCTCCAACTGCAGCGAGAGCTCCTCGCGCAGCCTGCCGGACTCTTGAAGCTCAGGTTTTAGGGTTTAGGTGCGCAGAGGAGAGAGGAGAGGAGAGAGGAGAGGCGAGGGGGGACTGGAGAGCTTCCACCCAGAAGCCCGATATCCCGAAACCCGCATTTCGGGATGCTGGTGGCCTCTGCTCAGAGGCCTCCGAAGCTTCGCGCAGCTCTTGTAGCTGCGTCTTTGCCTCTGGCATCTCAGAACGGCATAGAGCTTTAAGCTTCTAGGTCAGCATTTTCTGCAGGTGGATCTACGTCTACGTTGGCTGGCCTTCGGTTGCCTTCTGCTTCTTGCTAGTCCAGCCGGAACCCTAAACCGTTCCATATAAACGCCGCATCTGCCAGCAGTATGGCGACGTTCATAGAGGTGCAACATTCATAAGAACAACGATGGCAGCTGCAGAAAAGTTCTCCTGAGAACGAGCTCTAGGCCATTCCTGCTCAAGCTGTTCCATCTTCTCTACAGATCTGCAGATGCAGGAGCCAACTGACAAAAACGAATCACTTGCCTCATCTAGCAGTCCGTCCTTGAGCTTCAGCTCCTC